AAAAAGACAGGACCCATGCATATTCTGTCTACCGAAGACTCATTTTGAACATAAAGCAACCTGCAGATTGAAAGTGAGTGCATGGAGAACAATTTATCATGCCAAAGTACCTCAAAAGAAAGCTGGGTTTGCAAATCTCATATCATACAACATAGATTTTAAACCAAAGACTGTAGTAAGAGATGTAGAGGGACACTATATCATACTTAAAGAGACTATCCAACAAGAAAATCTAACAATTGTAAATATCTATGCCCCCAACATGGGAGCAGCCAACTACATAAACCAACTATTAAGCAAAATAAAGAAAAACACTGATAATAATACAATAATAGTAGGGGACTTCAACACACCATTCACAGCAATGGACAGATCATCTAAGCAGAACATCAACAACAACAAAAAAACAACAAGAGCTTTGAAGGACACATTGGACCAGATGGACTTCGTAGATATATACAGAACATTCCATCCTAAAACAACAGAATACTCGTTCTTCTCGAGTGCACACAGAACTTTCTCCAGAATAGATCGTATGCTGGGTCACAAATCAGGTCTCAACCAATACCAATAGATTGAGATTATTTCCTGCATATATTCAGACCACAATGCATTGAAACTAGAACTCAACAACAAGAAAAATTTGGAAGTAATGCAAACACTTGAGGTTAAAAAGCATCCTGCTAAAGAATGAAGGGGTCAACCAGGAAATTAAAGAGGAACTTAAGCAATTCACTGAAACAAGTGAAAATGAAAACACATTGGTTCAGAACCTATGGGATACTGCAAAGGTGGTACTAAGAGGGATGTGCATAGCCATCCAAGCCTCTCTCAAAAAATTCAAAAAGTCCCAAATGCACAAGCTAACCTTATACCTAAAGGACCTGGAGAAAGAAGAGCAAATAGAGCCTAAACCAAACAGGAGAAGAGAAATAATAAAGATTAGAGCAGAAATCAATGAAAGAGGAACCAGAAGAACAGATCAATGAAACTAGAAGCTGGTTCGTTGAAAGGATTAATAAGATCAATAAACCTCTGGCCAGATTTATCCAAAAGAAAAGAGAAATGACCCATTATTAAATAATTATTAATTATTAATTATTTATTATTTATTAAATTATTAAATAGATTATTAAATAATGAGTGAAAGGGGAGAAATCACGACCAATACCAAGGAAATAGAGGCAATTACTAGAGTTTATTACCAACAGCTATATCCCAACAAACTAGGCAATCTGGCAGAAATGGATGCCTTCCTGGACACTTATAAACTACCAAGACTGAGACAGGAAGAAACTGACAATCTGAACAGACCAATAACCAGCAAGGAAATGGAAACAGTAATCAAAAACCTCCCAAAAAACAAGAGCCCAAGGCCAAATTGCTTCCCAGGGGAATTCTACCAAACATTCTTGTTTGTTAGTGGGGTGCCTGGGTGGCTCAGTTGGTTAAGCGAGTGCCTTCGGCTCAGGTCATGATCCTGGAGTCCCTGGATCAAGTCCCGCATCAGGCTCCCTGCTCGGCAAGGAGTCTGCTTCTCCCTCTGACCCTCCCCCCCCTCATGTGCTCTCTCTCTCATTCTCTCTCTCTCTCAAATAAATAAATAAAATCTTTACAAAAAAAAGAATATTTGGTAGTGATTCTACTGAAGGTGTTACAGAAAATAGAAATGGAAGAAAACTTGTGAACTTATTCTATGAGGCCAGCATTACCCTGGTCCCAAAACCAAAGACCCCATCAAAAAGGAGAATTACAGACCCCTATCCCTGATGAAAATGGATGCCAAAATACTCAACAAGATCCTAGCCAACAGGATCCACCAGTACATTAAAAGAATTATTCACCATGACCAGTGGGATTTATTCCTGGGATGCAAGCGTGGTTCAACATTTGCCAATCAATCACCATGATAAATCACATTAACAAATGAAGAGAGAAGAACCAAATGACCCTCTCAATTGATGCAGAAAAAGCATTTCACAAAATACAGCATCGTTTATTGGCTAAAACTCTTCAAAGTATAGGGATAGAGGGAACATGCCTCAATATCATAAAGGCCATCTATGAAAAGCCCACAGTGAATATCATTCTCAAAGGGGAAAAACTGAGAACTTTTCCCTTAAGGTCAGGAACATGACAGGGATGCCCTCTCTCACCACTACTGTTCAAAATAGTACTAGAAGTCCTAGCTTCAGCAATCAGACAAGAAAAAGAAATAAAAACCATTCAAATAGGCAAAGAAGTCAAACTCTCTTCGCAGATGACATGATACTTTATGTGGAAAACCCAAAAGACTCCACCCCTAAATTACTAGGTCTCATATAGCAATTCAGCAGTGTGGCAGGATACAAAGTCAATGCACAGAAATCAGTTACATTTCTATACAGTAACAATGAGGCATAAGAAAGCATCTAAGGAAACAATCCCATTTACAACTGCACGAAAAAACATAAGATACCTAGGAATAAACCTAAACAGAGAGGTAAAGAATCTGTACTGCAGAAATTACAGAGCACTTATGAAAGAAATTGAGGAAGACACAAAGAAATTAAAAAAAAAAAGCATTCCATGTTCATAGATTGGTAGAATAAACATTGTTTAAATGACTATGCTGCCCAGAGCAATCTACACTTTCAATGCAACCCCTATCAAAATACCCTCGACATTTTTCACAGAGCTGGAAGAAACAATCCTAAAATTTGTATGGAACCAGAAAACATCCTGAATCACCAGGGGAATGTTGAAAAATAAAACCAAAGCTGGGGGCATCACAATGCCTGACTTCAAGCTCTATTACAAAGCTGTGATCATCAAGACAACATGGTATTGGCACAGAAACATACACATAGTTCAACGGAACAGAATAGAGAGCCCAGAAATGGACCCTCAATTCTATGGTCAACTAATCTTTGACAAATCAAGAAATAATATCCACTGTAAAAAGGACAGTCTCTTCAATAAATGGTGTTGGGGAAAATTGGACAGCTACCTGCAGAAGAATGAAACTGGACAATTTTCTTACAGCATACACAAGGATAAACTCAAAATGAGTGAAACACCTCAATGTGAGATAGATATCCATCAAAATCCTAGAGGATAACACAAGCAGTAACCTCTTTGACATCGCCCACAGGAACTTTTTCCATTACAGGTCTCTAAAGGGAAGGGAAACAAAAGCAAAAATGAACTTTTGGGACTTCTACATGATAAAGAGCTTCTTCACAGCAAAGGAAACAGTCAACAACACTAAGAGACAACCCATGGAATGAGAGACGTTATTTGCAAATGACATTACAGATAAAGGGCTGTTATCCAAGATCTATAAAGAACTTCTCAAGCTCAACACCCAAAAAAACAAATAATCTGGTCAAGAAATGGGCAGAAGACACGAACAGACACTTCTCCAAAGACTTACAAATGGATAACAGACACATGAAAAATGCTCCACATCACTAGCGATCTGGGAAATACAAATCAAAACCACAATGAGAAACCACCTTAAACCAGTTAGATAGACTAAAATTAACAAGACGGGGAACAACAAATGTTGACGAGGATATGGAGAGGGGATCCCTCTCACACTGTTGGTGGGAATGCAAACTGATACAGCCACTCTGGAAAACATCATGGAGGCTCCTCAAGATGTTAAAAATAGAGCTACCCTATGGCCCAGCAATTGCACTACTAGGTATTTACCCCAAAGATACAGATGCAGTGAAAGAAGGGGCACATGCACCCCAATGTTCATAGCAGCAATGTCCACAACAGCCAAACTGTGGAAGGAGCTGAGATGCATTTCAACAGAGGAATGGATAAAGGAGATGTGGTTCATATATACAATGGAATATTACTCAGCCATCAGAAAGGATGAATACCTGTTTGCATCAACATAGATGGAACTGGAGGGTATTATGCTAAGTGAAATAAGTCAAGCAGAGAAAGATAATTATCTATGGTTTCACTCAGATGTGGAATATAAGGAATAGCACGAGGAGCATAGGGGAAGGGAGAGAAAACTGAAGGGGAAAAATTCAGAGATTGAGACAAACCAAGAGTGACTCTGGACTCTGGGAAAGAAACAGGGTTACAGAAGGGAGGTGGTGGTGGCATGGGTTAACTGGGTGATTGGGGATTAATGAGGGCACGTGTGGTGATGAATACTGGGTGTTATACCCAACTAATGAATTATTGAACACTACATCAAAAACTAATGATCTACTATATGTTGGCTAATTGAACATAACAAGAAAAAGAAACTGGGTGCTGATTCTTTGAAAGAATTAATAAAATTGATAAATATCTAGCCAGAGTTATCAAAAAGAAAAGTGAAAGGACCCAACTCATGTAGGCAGATTTCATTTGTTTTTGCATGGAGAGTTACAGGAGTCATATCTGATTATTATTAGTGAAGATTTGGTATGTATCTTATTTTATGATTTTTTTGAAATATTTATTAGAATGAGAGAGAGTGTGCACGTGTGTGAGAGACTATGAGTGGGGGAGCAGGGGAGGGGAAGAGGGAGAGGCAAACAAGCAGACTCCCCTCTGAGTGTCATGACTGTTGTGGGGCTTGTTCCAGGACCCTGAGATCATGATTTAATCCAAAATCAAGAGTTTGCCATGCATGAGACTTTTATCTTGATAATAACAAATGACATGAGTTAAACTTGTAACTTCTTATTATTTGGCACACTCCATATGCTAATTTGGCAATAATTCTCACCTACTTTTTTTTTTAAAGATTTTATTTATTTATTCATGAGAGACAGAGACAGAGACAGAGACAGAGGCAGAGGGAGAAGCAGGCCCCCTGCGGAGCAGGGAGTCCGATGCGGGACTCGATCCCAGGACCCTGGGATCATGACCTGAGCCAAAGGCAGACGCCTAACCAACTGAGCCACCCAGGCGTCCCAATTCTCACCTACTTTATACATTTTCCTATAACCTTTATTTTTTCCCCTCTACTATCAGATGTCACCCAACATTTGTCATAGGTAACATGGTATTTTTATTCATGAGACCTTGACTTTTGGTTGCTCTTTTTTTTTTTTCCTTTTTTTAATCCTTTCTCTTCACTGTGCAGTTCCAAAGTTTTATTTTGGCAGACCTAAAAGAAATGTAAAAAAATGCTATTTTTTTTTTTTAAAGTACAGCTTAACAATAGATTTTTTTTTAAATAAAAGACTATAAAAATAAAAATGATTTTATTTTAATTTAATTTAATTTACTTATTTTAGAGAGAATGAGAGAGAGAGAGCGCGCACAAGTGTGAGGGGTAGAAGGAGAAGGAGAGAGAATCCCAAGCTAACTCTGTGCTGAGTGTGGATACTGACACCGGGCTCAATATCATGACCCTGAGATCACTGTTGCAGGATTTTTTTTTTCCTTCAGTTTCTGCAGTTCTTGGTCATGCCACTTCGAAAAATGAAGAGGTAGACCAGACAGAGTGGTGGCAGGAAAGCAAAGTTTATTGAGTGATAGCACAAAGCTCCCACAGAATGAGGGGACCTGAGAGGATTGACAGCAGAATTTCTAAGTCTAGGGGTTTTTATGGGCTTGTTGGTGTGCTGTTTTTAATCTGATTAACCCTCCCTGTGCCTCTAATCCAATCAGGTTTTTGTCATCTATTTGTCACATGGGAAAGGGTGGAGAGCTCCTTGTCAAATCTTTTTAAGGGTGGTTTCCTCTTAAAGCATGGGGGGAGGGCACCCTGTCCCAGTCTGCCTTTCTTGCAACTATCCTTCATCATCACTACCTGAGCTGAAACCAAGCGTCAGACTCTTAACTCACCCAGGTGGCCCAAAAATGATTTTAAAGAAAGTGAAATAACTTTCTTTATACACCATTTATTAGACTATTAATTTAGTTCATTTATTCACTTTCACCATTACAATATAAAGTGTTGAAGTATTAGCAAGTTCTAATAATTAAAAAGAGGTTGTATCTCTGTAGACAGATTTTTTATGTACTAATACTGTAAATTTGGGCTACTAGACTTGTAACAAATCTGTCAAATACTACTTTTACCAGTCCCCAAAACAATTTGAGTAAGGGCTAGGTAGGGAGAGATAGGTAGGGGGCTATGTGATTAGGCTCACAGAAATCCCAAAAATGTGGAGGTATGGGAAAACCAGAGATAAGGTGACAAATCAGACCACCCTGCCCTAGGTGTGTGGGGTGGGTGTCTTTATGATAATCACCTGTGACCAACAAAGAATAACCACACCCTAAAAAGGAAGTAAGCCATTTAAGGTGTTATCAATAGAGATGTTAAAAGGATTTAAGTTCCCTGGTTAGCTTTCTATAAAAGATAAAACCTAAAGGCCCTTTTTGGCAACCCTGTCAGGATCACTCTCACTCTTGAGAGCTTTTTCTGTATCTTCACTTAATAAACTTTTATTGCTTTACTCACTCTCCATTGTCCTCAAGATTCAATCTTCGACTCCATGAGACAAGAACCTAGCTCTCCTGCTTCAAATTTACCAGTAATTTTTCTCTAGCAGACACACAAAATCAAAATAATATTGATAATAAATAAATGAATTAAACATATCTTCAGTAAATATTATTAAGAAGCATCTAAGGTATGTCAGTGAGTAAAAACAGAAAAATACAAAAGACATTGTTACTCTCTTACAGGAGCTCACAATCCTGGGGGTTGGGAATGGATAAAATGTGCTCACATATGCAATGAGATAAAAATAACTAAATGCCTTATAGCCATTTTCTGGAATACTTAATGAGTAGTTAGTTACAAATTGTCTTCACCAATTCAAGTAATTAATATGAATCAGAAGTTCTGCAATATCTAGTGACACTGAAGGTTAAAAGAAGTTATTACTGAAGGCAAAAGGAGAAAATAGAAAATGCTACAGCCTCTAGGTCTTCAGTTTTGATAGAGCCATAAAGCCAGCCTCTGCTTATTCCAAATGCAAGAGAAATGTAGGGAAAATTAAATTTTCTTACAACTTGCAGCCCATTGATATATACCTGAGACAGGCAGGGTGTGACATTCCTCAAGGAATTCACAACTGCATTAATGTTAGTGCTTTGCTACAGTGCTTTGCTATCAAAGCAATCTTAGCTTGATAATAGCCAGACCTCCTGGATCCAGTAAGTCTTCTTTAATATGCAGAAATCCCTTTAGAGACTTCCATTATCTCTACCCCCACCTTAAAAGTATATAATCAATCACTCCTCACAACCACAGTGCAGCTCTGTCTGCCCACTGGTCCTGTCCCAGTGCTATAATAAAAACAACTTTTTGCACCGAAAACTTCTCAAGATTTTTTTCTTGACAGTTCGCTCAGCAGCCCCGCATATTTCTGGTGCCCAACATGGAGCCCTTCTTCTCATCAGGACCTGGGCCCTCAATACAAACTTGGTGAGAGTACCTTTTTTCCTTTTACTTTCACTTCAAAGACTTCTCAGGAAGTACGGTCTTATTGGAAGACTTTCATGTTGATTGCTCAGCTGCAAACCTCTACTTATGGCTACTCTATGGGGAGGAATAAAAGCTGCCTTTTGACTGGAAGCTAGTACCCTGGCTGGAATGGTAATAGACTCAGAACCTTCATGCCCTCACTTTATTCCTTTTTTAAAAAAGATTTTATTTATTTATTTGTCAGAGAGAGTGCAAGCACAAGCAGGGGGAGCAGCAGGCAGAGGGAGAAGCAGACTCCCTGCCGAGCAAGGAGCTCGATGTGGGACTCGATCCCAGGACCCTGGGATCATGACCTGAGCTGAAGGTAGACACTTAACTGACTGAGCCACCCAGGCATCCCACTTTATTCCTATTCTTATAGAAAGTTGTCTTTCTTGGACACAGAACAGTCACCTAAATCACTAGGACAGTTGCCAATCTTAAGACTCCTGTGTAAGGTTTCCTTATTGGTCTAATATGATCCCCTCCACATCTCTGGTCTAGCCACTTCTGGCCAGAATTCCACTGGGAGCCAGCCAAAACCAGTACCTGATTGAATTAAAACCCAACCAGGGACCGTTTCCTAGGGAAGTGTGTTGGAAAGGACATGTGTTGGAATGTCCTTTATACCATGATGGATTTCTATCTTTACTATTCTTCATCAATGTTCCCTCCTGACTACTTAAATTGCAACACTAAATATTTTTCCCTGCAAATTCTTAGCATCTCCATGGGTTAAAAATGGCAGGTTCTGAGCAGGCTCTTTTGGTCCATTCACTGGCACCCACTTGTAGTCTAGAATGCAATGGGGAAGTGAAGGGACATCAACATCCCTTCAGTAAACAAGTCAGTGTTCAAAACGACTTTTGGGGGGACACGTTTCTTTGAATACTACGAACCCTTGGCATTATCTTGCCACCCAGGAGCTGGGGGGAGGGGATTTGGGTAATGGACCTTCCAGGTTTCTTAAGTCCCCAAGGACTCTCCCTTGAGATGACTTTTAATCCCCTGGACCAGTTTGGACTGAAGTATATAAAGAAAAAAAATTAAAAATTCCTTTTCTTCTGCAATAGTGCATACCCTCAGTACTGCTTAGGAGACTTGGTAAAATGGCCCATTAACAGATCTGTAAACTTCAAGTTTACTAAACTTCAACTTCACTCTTTCTGCCAAGATCCTGTACATGCTTTTTTTTTTTTTTTTCTATGACTTGTCTCATCTTTGTTTGCTTCTTTTTTTGTGTGTTATATCTGAAATATATCTTGAGAAGACTAGATGAATGTTGCCTGACTCTTATTGTATGTGGAGGCTTCTTTCTCATTCATTTCCTGGGTTAATGGTTATGATAATTGGAGCCAATTGTCTGATAGTCTACCTTGGGACAGAGACTTTATGGAATATTCCCAAGCAGCTGCCAAAATTCCTTCTGTTTGGGGGAAGTTCCCTGCCTTCTCTGGCCCAACATGAACTGCCTATATCACTTCATGTTGGTGGAAAGAAAACTTGTCTGCTCATCTGTCTAAGCTGATCAGCTTTAGGACTAGGAGTCCACTTTCTCTGCCCTTCAGGTTTTTGTCCCACCTCCAACTTTACTGGTGGCACCTCAAATCTTCATCCTCCTCCTCCCCTTCCTCCTGTTCCTACACCACCATGAATGAGGCTTGCATAACTTGCTACTTATCCCATCCTCCCTGCCTCAGTTACCATTGGCTCCTGCTCCTCCTACCCTTGTTATCAAGGAGCAAAGTTTTGGTTTTCTGGACAGACAAAAGAAAACAAAACAAAACAAAACTTTTTTTTTTTTTTTCCTGGACTTAAACCATCCACTTAATTCCCCACTGGAGCCCCAGGTAAAAGAAAAAAAAAATGACAGTGGGGAACAAATGGATTGAATTTTAAGTGGACCCCGGTGCAACATATTTGGTATTTAAACTAACTTAAGTTTGTTAATTAAGATAGACATGTATTCAGAGTTATTAGGATTAAATATAAAACTTTTATTTTACCAAGGATTGCTGAAGGTTATCTCTGTTGCAATTTGTCAGCAAAAAGATGATGAAATGATGGTTAATTTTGTCTGTCTCAAAGTTTTCATGGGTAATTGTTAAAAAAACAAGTCAGTTGAATAACTGAAAAGGTGTATAGCTTTCAAAATATTTGGTAACCTACAACTGTAAAGTTTTGCTTAGATGATAAATTGGATTGAATTCATGGGACATCTATGTCTTTTCCAAGTAAGATAAAATTATAAAGCATTGATTATTGGATGTAGGTTTGTGCTTTTGGCTTCTTTATTGCAGAGAAACTGGGGTACTTGGGTATGTTAGTAAACATGCTTTATACTTTATTTAAAAAAATGTACTATGGAGGGGCACCTGGTTGGCTCAGTCGGTTAATCGTCTGACTTCAGCTCAGGTGGTGATCTCGGGGTCCTGGGATCGAGTCCCATGTCCAGCTCCCTGCTCAGTGGGGAGTCTGCTTATCCCTTTCCTTCTGCCCCTCCCCCTGCTAATACTCTGTCTCTCAAATAAATAAAATCTTTAAAAAAAGATTGTGCTATGGAAAACATATATGTTTTTAAAAATTAGGAGATGTTTTTATAAATTTCATCATCTAAAGAATTCTATTGTTAACAGGCAGTTCACAGTTCATCACTACTTAATTTTCATTGGATATTAAGGTTTCTAAAGTAAAAATTCTGATAAATGTAATTGAGACTGCTGGAAATGGTAAGGGAAACAGTTCTGTATGTAGAAAGGTAGGTAATATATGAGAAAGATAAAAGGAATGGGAATACATATTGTTGAGGTAAAAGAAAGTAATTTTGTACTAAAAAATGAGACCTGTTATTTAGAGAGAAAGGGCTTACAAAAAAATCTGAATGAAAAAGTTGTAGAAGGTTTGTGAAGGGAAATCTTTGGAAAGGAATTTTATACGTGGTCAGGACTAAGTGTTTCAGGATTTCTTTTCCTTTAGTGTCCGTGGTTCTTGGTCAAGCCACTTTGAAGAATGAAGAGGTAGACCACCTGAAGAGTGGTAGACAGCAAAGCAAAGTTTATTGAGTGATAATACAAAGCTCCTAAAGAGGGAGGGGACCAAGAGGGTTGTCACAGGAGTTTCTAAGTCTAGTGGTTTTTATGAGAATGTTGGTGGGCTGTTTTAATCTGATTAATCCACCATGTGACTGTCACCCAATCACGTTTTTGTCCACACACTCATCTACCTATCAGGTAGTTGTTCATGGGAAAGGGTAGAGGGCTCCTTCCAGGGTGATGTAAAATCCTTTTAAGGGTGCTTTCCTCTTAGGGTGGGGGTCAGGGGTGGGGCTTGTCCCTGCCTATCTTTCTTCCAACTATCCTTCATTATAAGGTTGAAATGAATGGATTTTTAAAAGTACACCATATGTGATTGAAATTCTGCTTTTCCCTCTGTTAAAAAGACAAAAGTTTTTTTTGGATTTTTTATCTGCTCTTGATAAGAAAATATAAACAATGTTTTTTTTTTTTTCTCTTTTGTCTGTCCAGAAAACCAAAACTTTTATGTTTTGTGTTTATCAGGTCTTTGATTCCTTAAGTAAGTTAGAGCTTCTCAATATTAAAGGAGCTAAGTTTTACTAACAACTATATAACTTCCTGTAGAATCCCTTATTGCCACCTTGGCTAAATGTAAATGCTAATCTGATAATGATCTACAATCCTTTTTAGGCATAAGCTTTAAAATTTTCTGAGGGATTTAAGAAACTTCTGCAGATTTGAATTGTAAATAAAGGTTTTTTGTTTTGTTTTGTTTTTTCTAATTAAGCTTGTTTTTGGCATGTTAAATTACTCTGGAAGTGCTGTTAAACACACAATGATAAGACTGTGTTTTGGGTGGTTTTGGGATCAAGGTAATGCTGGCCTCATAAAATGAGTTTGGAAGTTTTCCTTCCATTTCTATTTTTTGGAACAGTTTCAGAAGAATAGGTATTAATTCTTCTTGAAATGTTTGGTAGAATTCCCCTGGGAAGCCATCTGGCCCTGGGCTTTTGTTTTTTGGGAGATTTTTGATGACTGCTTCAATTTCCTTAGTGGTTATAGGTCTGTTCAGGTTTTCTATTTCTTCCTGGTTCAGTTTTGGTAGTTGATAGATCTCTAGGAATGCATCCATTTCTTCCAGGTTATCTAATTTGCTGGCATAGAGTTGCTCATAGTATGTTCTTATAATTGTTTGTATGTCTTTGGTGTTGGTTATGATCTCTCCTCTTTCTTTCATGATTTTGTTGATTTGGGTCATTTCTCTTTTCTTTTTGATAAGTCTGGCCAGGAGTTTATCAATCTTGTTAATTCTTTCAAAGAACCAGCTCCTAGTTTCGTTGATCTGTTCTACTGTTCTTTTAGTTTCTATTTCATTGATTTCTGCTCGATCTTTATTATTTCTCTTCTCCTGCTGGGTTTAGGCTTTATTTGCTGTTCTTTCTCCAGCTCCTTTAGGTGTAGGGTTAGGTTGTGTACTTGAGACCTTTCTTGTTTCTTGAGAAAGGCTTGTATTGCTATATACTTTCCTCTTAGGACTGCCTTTGCTGCATCCCAAAGATTTTGAATAGTTGTGTTTTCATTTTCATTGGTTTCCATGAATTTTTTTTAATTCTTCTTTAATTTCCTGGTTGAATTGTGCAAGATTGTTGAATCTCAGATCTGTACCTCTGAAACAAATAATGCAATATATATTAAGAAAAAAAAGAAGAAGAAGAAGATAGCGGGAGGGGAAGAATGAAGCGGGGGAAATCAGAGGGGTAGACGAACCATGAGAGACGATGGACTCTGAAAAACAAACTGAGGGTTCTAGAGGGGAGGGGGATGGGAGGATGGGTTAGCCTGGTGGTGGGTATTGAGGAGGGCACATTCTGCATGGAGCACTGGGTGTTATGCACAAACAATGAATCATGGAACACTACATCAAAAACTAATGATGTAATGTATGGGGATTAACATAAGAATTAAAAAAAAGACTGTGTTTTGGGGGTAAATGCCATAACTATTCTAGAGTTTATATGAAATTCCTAAAGTCTGGGCGCCTGGGTGGCTCAGTCGGTTAAGTGACTGCCTTCGGCTCAGGTCATGATCCTGGAGTCCCGGGATCGAGTCCCACATCGGACTTCCTGTTCAGCGGGGAGTCTGCTTCTCCCTCTGGTCCTCCCCCTCTCATGCTCTCTGTCTCTCATTCTCTCTCTCTCAAATAAATAAATAAAAAATCTTAAAAAAAAAAAAAAGAAATTCCTAAAGTTTTAATAAGGCCATCACTAGATATTCTGATTATTGAAGTGTTATGGGTCACAGAAATAACTGGATTTCCTTGTCTGCTATATTATAATGAAATCTCAGATCTTTAACCATGTCCATTTTTCAGTCTTTCATCATTTATAGTTATCGTTCTGATGCTCTTGCAGGACATGTTTTGTCCTCAAGAAGATTCATGAAAAGGACTTTTTAACAAACATATGTGTTTTTTTTTTATATGATTAACATCATAAAACTAAAATGGTTAAGAATTTCCAGCACTAACAGAAAAACTACATTCAAACAGAATAAATATTAGTAGCTGGGACTAAGTGAATTGAGGAAGATGATTATAGTTTTTGTGACTTTGTATGAAACACTATTGGTTCTGTAATGTTTGCTCCTCCAGACTTTCTCTTAAGATATCCACAATATACAGAAATATAAAATATTCATTTGTGGACAGATTGAAGCATTTAACTTTTCTCTCTACCTGAACCCTTCAGAACTCAAAAACTCTCAGTGAATATTCTTTTTTTCATAGCAATCACAGTTATTTCTGTAAGTTCAATAAGAATCTGTTCTCATTGTAACAGGACACCATTGGCTATTTTACCAAGGATTTGAGTGGAATGTCATATTTGAGAGAGACATGCATAGACTCAGATATGATCAGGCAGCTTTAAGGAACTAAGATTGACTTTATGAAGCCCGTAGAGCCCCTTCAAAATTTTGGCCTGATACCTTGCTTACAGAGTTCCCAGTAGCCTTACCAAGTGAGGAAAGAATGTTACTTCCTGGCAGGTACAGGAACCTCAGGTTATTTTGGGGACCTAGAGAAGAGGAATTTGCCCAAATCTATAGGTGTTGCAGGTATGTCTGATGACAAATATTTGTCTTGGCTTCTGGCCTCAAGAGCCTATTAAAAGTCCAATCTAGACATTCCTTATAAAAAGTTCCAGCAAAGCAAATTTTAAAAGATCAATATGATCAATCACTATTCTTGCTGAGCTTATGTAAATAATTAGGCCACATTTATTAAAACTAGACCTTTTTATAAACAAAGTAGTCTTGATTTGGCTATCTTTGATAAAAATGAGGGTGATTATGCAAAGAAAATGTTGCAATAACACATCTTTTTAGATATTAGATATTAATACTTTTTATTATAAGCTAGAATAGATCCTGAATTCTTCTGGTTTCCTCAAATATCTGGCTATGGCTCTCCAAACTAAGGTTTCCAATCTTTTCCATTCTCTTAAAGTCATTAAAAACTAAAACTGTCCTTTTCCCTGAAGCCCTGAAAACTGATGCTGGACAGCTTGATGTCAATTTCAGGGAAATTGTTACAGTAGCTCATATATAGACAATGTTCATGCTTTTTACTCTGTGGGAATCATAAGAGTAATGCATGGGCATATGATAATTTAACAACTGGAAAATGGAATGGACTCTCTAACAATTGTATAACTCAACTATTAACTTGACCAATTCTGTGTGGCTGGGATGACAAATTCACTCCTTAAGAGTCAGAGCATACCCCACTCCCTGGGGTTACCTGTGGAAATAGTGGATAGCCCCACTTTCCTTATAATTGGATTGGATAATGCACTTGGTGATGCCCTTTTCTCCTGAGGCAGGTCATCTCCCACTTGCCAGTGATTCCTCATAATTAAGATGTTGTTAAGGCTAGACATCAAACAAAGAGGACTTCTTGATGGTTTTACCCTTTAGCCATATTTGTTTTATTTGTAAAATTGCAAGTAGAGTCTCTAACCAAGCACACAGTGGTGATCTTTAACTAAGCTGAACATAGTCACCCACAAATTCAAAAGATGGTCTTCAAAAAATGAATGGCCCTTGATATCCTGACTGCAACTCAGGGAGGACCTGTGCTTTAATTAAAGGATAATGTTATGTATATATTCCAGATTGTCACAGAAATGTAACAAGATTGCTAAAAGATATGGATACTCAAATTGGTACTTTACATGATGCCTCCCTCTCCTTTAATGATTGGTTAAACTCCTGGACTGGAGGAGGATTTTGGACAACTATCAAAGGTCTTTTTACTGGGCTTCTTTTTCTCATAATAATATTAACTTTACTTTGTTGTCTTTCCCAGTGTCTCTTTGCCTGGTGCTGAGACTCCTTCACTGCCATAACTTCAAGCCGACAAATGATCCTTTCTACTCAAGGAGATTCCTATAGGTCTACCTTGGATTCAGCTGCCTCTGCCTTTCATAAATCCTATATATAAATACCCCAACTGACTAATGTTGACCCATAGGTAGGAACATCTCTATGCCCCTATTCAGTAGGAAGAAGTTACAGAAGATAAGACCTTCACCCTCAGCAACCGTAAAGATTTAAGGATCAAAATTGATCAGGAGTGAAAGAATGAGAACAAAGGCAAGAGAAAGTAGGCAAAATTAAATTTCCTTAAAACTTGCAGCACACTGATATGTACCTGAGACAGGCAGAGTGTGACATTCCTCAAGGAATTCACAACTGCATTAATGTTAATGCTTTTCTAGGGCAAAAAGCAACCTTAAATTGACAATAGCCAGACCTCCAGGAACCTGTAAATCTTCTTTAACATGAAGAAATCTCTTTAGAGACTTCCATTATCTCTACACCCACCTTAAAAGTATATAATCAATCACTCCTCACAATCACAGTGCTGCTCTTTCTGCCCCCCTGGTCCTGTCCCCCTGCTATAATAAAAAAGACACAAACAGATATTTCTTCAAAAAAGACATACAAATGGCCAACAGACACATGAAAAAATGCTCAACATCACTTGGCATCAGGGAAATCCAAATCAAAACCGCAATGAGATACCACCTTACACCAGTCAGAATGGCTAAAATTAACAAGTAAGGAAACAACAGATCTTGGCGAGGATGTTGAGAAAGGGGAACCCTCTTACACTGTTGGTGGGAATGCGAGCCAATAGAGTCACTCTGGAAACAGTATAGAGGTTCCTCAAAAAGTTAAAATCTTGGGGCACCTGGGTGCTCAATTGGTTAATTGCCTGCCTTCCAACTTAGGTCGTGATTCTGGTGTCCTGAGATTAAGCCCCACATAGGGCTCCTGGCTCAGCAGGGAACCTGTTTCTCCCTCTCCCTCTGCCCCTCTGCTTCTGCTCTCTCTCACTTGCATTCATTCTCTCTAAATAAAATAAATAAAAATCTTTTAAAAAATCTTAACCATTTGCAATGACATGGATAGAATTAGAGGGTATTATGTTAAGTGAAATAAGTCAATCAGAGAGACAATTATCATATGATTTTACTGATATGGAATTTAAGAAACAAAACAATATCATAGTGGAAGGGAGGGAAAAATAAGATGAAATCAGAGAGGGAGTCAAACCATAAGACACTCTTAACTATAGGAAACAAATGAGGGTTGCTGGGAGGGAGGTGGGCAGGGCAAGGGTAATTGGGTGATGGGCATTAAAGAGGGCACTTGATGTAATGAGCACTGGGTGTTCTATGCAATTGATGAGTCACTAAACTCTACCTCTGAAACTAATAATACATATATGTTAATTAATTGAATTTAAATAAAATAAATTTTTTTTTGCACTGAAAAGTCTCAAGAATTCTTGGCCATTCGCTCAGCAGCCCCCATATCACCTTTTCTACTTACCCTGCTTCCAACTTTTCCTTTAGTTCTCAGGCCTCTTCATCTCCACAAGGCACTCTGGCATAGGCATGACAGCAGATAAGTGCTCTTAGTAGTACCATACATTTGAGCAATTCTTTTTTTTTTTTTTTAAGATTTTATTTATTTATTTGACAGAGAGAGACACAGCGAGAGAGGAAACACAAGCAGGGGGAGTGGGAGAGAGAGAGAAGCAGGCTTCCCGCTGAGCAGGGAGCCCGATGTGGGGCTTGATCCCAGGACCCTGGGATCATGACCTGAGCTGAAGGCAGACGCTTAACAACTGAGCCACCCAGGCACCCCATTTGAGCAATTCCTATCTTCCTTTGTTGTCAACTTATTACTTCATGTGTATGTTTTGTCTTATCGAGTTGATTATAAGACTCTAAAAAACCTGACTTTGGTTTAAAATTCACTTTTCCATAATAAGAAAAATAGCATTAAGCTTATGGTAAGAGCACAATAATATGTGTTTATTGTTTGAATTAAAATGTATCTAACAATACTTCTGTGGAAGATGGTAGAGTAGGGGTATCCTAAAGCTCACCTCATTTCATGGATACTAGATAATACCACCTCAGTGTAAATAACTTAGAAAATGACCTGAAGACTGGCGGAATAGACTCTGCACAGCTAAATGTAAAGAGACCACATCAAACAGGGTAGGAAGATTGGAGACCTGGTCAGGAGCTAAACTGATCTGTGCGACTATCTACAGGAGGGAGTGATGCTGGGATGGAGAAGGTGGTGAAAAAACAGACCCTCACCCCAGGCATGGGGAATCCTCATAACATTTGGTTTTGAAAATCAGAGGGACATAATTTCATGAGATCTTACAATCAGCAGGGCATAACACTGGGAACTTTAAAAATCAGCAGGTTTAGGGGTGCCTGGGTGGCATGGTCAGTTAAGTGTCCAACTCTTGGTTTCCACTTAGGACATGATCTCACAGGTTGTGAGATTGAGTCCCACTCAAGCTCTGTGCTCAGTGGGGAGTCTGCTTGAAGATTCTCTCCCTTTTCATGTCTCCCCACTTGAGTGCTCTCTTTCTCTCTCACTCTCTCTCAAATAAATAAATAAATCTTTTTAAAAAATAAGCAGGCTCAGCTCTGGGAAAGTCTGGAGGGCTATAGGAATCTGAGTCCCCACCCTTAAAGAGAGAGCACAACAAACAGCCCCACAGAGATAAAGGATAGGAGTAGCAGTTTGAAAAATACTAAGGACATACAGGAGGGAGATTTGTTTACTAATCTTAGAATGTATGCTGAAGGGGCAAGGATCATTGGGAGACTTCTTCAGAAACAAGGAGCTGGCAGGTGCCATGTCATCTCACCCCAACCTAGACACACAGACACCTGCTGGGACCAACACAGCACTAACACTCTAACTTGCTAACAGTATGCCCTGCTGTTGTGCACTTCTATGGACACATGCCCTCCAGCCAGGCCTCTGTTCCAGGTCTCCTCCCATAGTAGACCTGCCCCCATGTGTTTCTGCAGATCTGCCTCCTCAGTCCCTGGCAGCTGAAGGTCCATTCCTGCAGTGGACCAGTGCAGACCTTGCTAGCATCATATGCACCCCACCCATGAGCCCTACAATAGACTTATCCCCACCAATATGTCCTTGGCCAAAGCCCATCCCAAGTAGTGCCACAAGCTTGGCAGTGTACAAGGAGCACTGACAGGGACCAACAACACTCCAAAGTGACTAATGCCAAGGGGAGAGGGAAATATTACCACACACAGCATTCTGACTACAACTCCAGCAGTGAATTAAAAGTAGACATTTGGTCTGACTGCAGGCTTCACTCACCAGTGAAACTTCTCAGGGGACAACACAGGGAAAACACCCTGTATTTTGGTGCTACTACATATCTGGCAAATACCTGATCTGACTCAACTCAAGCCCAGGCTGGCCTGAGACTGTGCCCTTGACAGCACAAGAAAAAAAAAAACCTTGCTCACAACAACCAAAAAGCCATTGCAGATGACTGGAATGAAGACAAAAGTAGCTCAGTCACTACAGTAGGTGCAAGCAACCCACATAGGAGACACCCCTGAAGCACCAGGTTCTAGTGAACAGGGGATATTGCACTGCAGGACATTACAGGACATCTTTGTCATAAGGCCACTACTTTCAAGAAAGGGAGATGTAACTGACTTTCCCAGCACATAGAAACAGATCGAGAGAGAAAAAAATGAGGAGACAGAGAAATATGTCCCAAATGAAAGAAGAGGACAAAAATCACAGCCAGAGTACTAAATGAAATGGATATTGCATGCTTGATACAGAATTTAAAGTAATGGTTATAAAGATACTCATTGGACTTATGAAAATGGTGGAGGATCTCAGTGAGACATGTAACAAAGAGACAGAAAACAAAAAAGAACCAATTAGACATGAAGAACTCAATAAATGAAATTAAAAATACACTAAATGAAATTAATAGTAGACTAGAGGAAGCAGAATAGCTCAGTGACTGGAAGGAGAGAGTAATGGAAAGCAATAAACCTGAACAGGAGAGAGAAAAAAGAATAATAATAAATGAAAATACACTTAGGGAAATAAATGACACCATCAAGCATAATAACTTTAACATTATAGGAATCCCAGAAAAAGAAGAGAGAGAAAAGGGGGCAGAAAATTTAGAACAGAACAGATCTAAAAACAGAAATTTCGATTTAGGGGGCACAAAAAGCCCCAGTAAAAATCACCTTAGGGAGCTCCCAAACCAAGATGCATAGTAATTAAAATGGCAAAAAGTAGTGATAAAGAGAAACAAACTGAGGATTCTAGAGGGGAGGGGGGTGGGGGGATGGGTTAGCCTGGTGATGGGTATTAAAGAGGGCACATATTGAATGGAACACTGGGTGTTATACACAAACAATGAATCATGCAACACTACATCAAAAACTAATGATGTAATGTATGGTGATTAACATAATATAATAAAATAAAATTTTAAAAAAATGTGTAAAAAAATAAAATAAAATGTGTTAGCCTACCCCCCCCCCCAAAAAAGAGAGAGTTGTAAAAGCAGCAAGAGATAAAACAGTTATATACAAAAGAAACCCCATAAGGCTATCAGTGGATTTTTTAGCAGAAACATTGCAGGATAGAAGAGAGTGGCATAATATATTCAACTAACTGAAAGAAAAAAAGAAAAACTACAACCAAGAATACAATATCGACCAAGGTTACCATTTAGAAGAGGAGAGATGAAGAGTGTTGAGAAAAACAAAAGTTAAAGGAATTCTTGACCACTAAACCACCCCTACAAAGAATATTAAAGAGGACACCTTGAGTTGAAAGGAAAGATCATAACAAGAGTAAAGAATGTAGGAAGCACAAAAGCAGTAATATTAAGTATATATATAAAAATTTGTCACAGGATGCACAAGATAAAATGATATAAAGTATAACACCATATACCTAAAGCATGGGGGAGAGGAGTAAAGAAAGTGTTTAAACTTAAGTGACCATCAACTTCATATAGACTGGTAAATGCAAAAGATGTTATATAAAACCTAAAGCTAACCAAAATCAAAAACCAGTAATAGATGTGCAAAGAATAAAGAGAAAGGAATCCAAGTATATCACTAAAGAAATCCAGTAAACCATGAGAGAGGAGAGTAAGAGAAGAAAGAAACAGAAAAGAACTACTAAAACAAATGTGAAACAAAGTAAAAAATGGTAACAATATCAATAAGTACTTTGAATGTAAACAGAGTAAATGCTCCAATCAAAAGACATAGGGTGACAGAGTAGATAAAAAACAAGACCCATCTATGTGCTGCCTACAAGAGACACATTTCAGACCTATAAGCATATATAGATTGACAAAGAAGGGATGGAAAAGCAGTTATCATACAAATGGAAATGCAAAGAAAACCAGGGTAAAAATACATATATCAGACAAAATAGACTTTAAAACAAAGACTAACAAGAGACAAAGAAAGACACAATACAGTCATAAAAGGAACAATCCAACAAGAATATATAAAACATTATAAATATTTATGCACACAAGGGAACACCCAAATACATAAAGCTGCTAATAATACACATAAAGGAAGTAATCAATAGTAGTAAAATAATAATAGGGAACATTAATACCCCACTTACTTGGATGGTCAGATAATCCAAAAGAAATTGAACAAGTAAACAAGTATGGCTTTGAATGACACACTGGATCAGATGAGCATTATATTCAGTACATTCCATCCTAAAACAGCAGAACACGCATTTTTTTTTCAAGTGCACATGGAACATTCTCTAGATCACTTATTAGGCCTCAAAACAAATCTCAACAAATTCAGAAAGATCGAAGACAGATCATGTGTCTTTCTTGACCATATCACTATGAAACTAGAAATCAACCACAAGAAAAACTCTGGAAAGACCACGGATACATGGAGGTAAAATAACATGCTACTAAACAGTGAATGGGTCAACCAAGAAATCAAAGAGGAAATTAAAAAATACATTAAGACAAATGAAATGAAAACAACAGTCCAAAATCATTGGGAGGCAGCAAGAGCTGTTCTAAAAAGGAATTTTATAGCAATACAGGCCTACCTCAAGAAACAAGAAAAATCATAACCAACCAACCTAAACATAGTCATGAAGAACCTAGAAAAAGAACAAACAGAACCCCAAACCAGTGGAAGAAAATAATAATGATAGATCAGAAATAAACTATGCATAAACTAAAAACAAACAAACAAACAAACAAAAAACCCCACAATAGAACACATCAATAAAACCAGGAGCTGGTTCTTGGAAAAGATCAACAAAATTGATAAACATTTAGCCAGACACATTAAGGAAAAACAAAAGAAAAAGAAAACAAAAGAAAAAATATGACTCAAAATCAGAAAATGGAGAAATAACAACTGACACCACAGAAAATCAAAGGATTATAAGAGAATGTTATGAAAATTATATACCAACAAATTGTACAACCTGGAAGAAATGGATAAATTCCTAGAAATATATAAACTACAAAAAGTGAAAAATAATTAAAAATTTTAACAGACTGATTAACAGAAATAAAATTGAATCAGTAATAAAAAAACTCCCAACAAACAAAAGTCCAGAATCAAATGGCTTCATAGTTGAATTCTACCAAACATTTAAAGAATTGTTAATACCTATTCTCCTCAAAGTACTCCAAAAAATAAGACTAAGGAAAGCTTTCAAATTCATTTTGTGAGGCCAGCATTACTCTGATACAAAAATCAGATAAAGATACCACAAAAAGGAGAACTACAGGCCAATATCTCTGAT